GGGGATGTCTGTACAGTAGCAAGTGCGCATGCAAAGGGCTGCCTTTCTAGAACTACAAACCATGAATTCCGTACAGCCTAGACAAGACATTCTCCTGGGCTTTAAAGATTAACTTTAATGATCTAAATGTCCAAGAATTTAAGGGATTGATTGATTAAATCATGGTTCGTCGATGCAATAAAAAACCAGGCAGCTTTTTTAAAAAATGATGTAGATGATGTGGATCTATACGTATTGACACGGAGGGATGTTCCTAATACATCATGAAGTCTAAAAAGCAAGTCACTAAATAGTACACACAGCATGAGCACACATACACACAGAGAGGAAAAGTCTAGAAATACATATACAGAAGGCATTAACAGCATTAACAGTAATTATCTCTGTGTGTAAGGCATAAGAATACAGGTGATTTAGTTTCTTTCTTCCTGAGTGCTTATCTTTTTTTGTAAATTTTCCACAGTAAAAAGAAAGTGTTGGTATAAGGGCTAAAGGTGAGGAAACTGAACCTTAGGAACGGCAAGCAAAAACATGCAATGATAAAAATGTTGTAAAGAACCTATTGCCTAGCTACCAAGTCCTGATCCATTTACATAAATTTGAATCTCCCTACCACACAGCAGAGTAAGGACTGCAGTCCCCATTGTTTCAGATTATTTGTAACTGAGGCTCAGGGAGATCAAGTAATTTGCCTCCAAAGTCACCCAAACTGAAGCCATCAGACTGGGATTTAACCCAGATCTTGTGCAGCTCCAAATCGGGTGTTCTCTCCACTATGGGACTCCGTAATCTTTTACCTCCAGTACATGAGGCTTCCAGGCAAGCAGGAAAACAGAAGGAATCCACATGGACCAGAGGGCATGGAGGGAAGAAAAGAGAATGCATAAGGGCAAGAGTGTGTTACCCCACCACTTCCTGTACCTTGGAGTAGGCTTCCCAACCTTGGCACACTGACATTTGGGGCACAATAATCCTTTGTTGTAGGAGGAGCAGGGAATAGTCTGTTAACAACAGACTGGCCTTTCGTCACTAGATGTAGCAAGCTGTGACAACAAAAATGTCTCCAGACACCACCAAATATCCCCTGAAGGCCAAACCAACCCTTGGTGAAGATCCACTGCCTTGGAGAATCGCTACCACCAGAATATTAGGGTGGGTCCAGCATGTCATTTGCTATTTACCATATATATTCATGCTTCAGTCAACCATACAGTTCAGGCCACTAATCCATCCTCCTCAAGGAATCCTTCAGCCCTTACGTATTTTGAAATTTGACAGCTCCTTCAGGCATCATTAAAGACAAATTTCCGAAATGGTGAGCCCCAAGTGACATCTGTGGCTATTATCCTGATCTCCAGAAGGAACAGAAAGTTCAGGCGGACCCCTTCAAGAAGGCTCCATGATGGGCCTTCTTGCTACCACCCTCTTGTGGGGGTTCATCCATGCCCCTGCATTCCCTAAATTAAAAGTTAAGGGAAACTGGTTTTCTCTTGTAAATACCAAGCTGTGCAGTCATTACAAGCTTGCTTGGAGATAATCAGGGCTGACACTCATTGTACGTGCAGGGTTTATTGGAGACCACCCACAAAGTCGCCTCAACGCAAAATGACACTACTAAGTAATCTAATCCCAAAATGTAGATTTCATTCCAACAAATTGCACACAAGTGGTCTCCTGCTGGTTTAACTGTTGCCTTGCAAGCCAAGCCCAACTGTATTGGTGGCAAGTATGTTAGCATAAAGCATCCAAACCATAAACAGAGAATGCAAATGCCATGGCTGGGACCATAAACACTGAATGTCACGGAGAGAAATGAAGTCCTTTTCTACTGAATTAAAATATAATTAGAAGATAGGGTAGAATTCATCACTTTTTTCCTAACTCATTCCCCCTTTGACTCAAAGAACAAAAATAGAGCAAAAAGATGAAGAAATTAAGTATTTTTCCCTTTGCATCAAAGACTCTTGCAAACTGTTTCCTGCAAGGCCATATGATCTGAGATGAACCAAAATTTGAGGGAACTAACACCCTGACTTTATCCCCACACAGCAAGTGGGTATCTGCAGCTCCAAAACATACAGTCCCCAGCCCCCAAGAAAAGGACATATAGTTCACCCCCATGCTGCCACCTCCCAAAAATTAAATTTATAATAAAAAAAATTGATGAGAACTAAGATTTTTTTTAAGTCTCAGAGAGTGGAATTTGACCATAAGTTCAGTGTGAGGCAATAATTTACTAAGGTTGCCTAAAAGGTTCATAACTATCTTAGGATGCATTAATAGAGTTTGCTGATCAGGTAAAAGGAATTGACAGTCCTGGGGTCAGGTGATCAGACTACATGTGGAGAACAGGTGTTCTCAGATTGACACGAAGGGGGACATCTGTGATGTTTGGCCCCTCAGCATCCACTCAGCTATTTAGGTAGTGACACGCCACGATGAGGCCCCATCTTTGAGTAGTGAGCTGACCCAGGTGCTGAATGAGGGAGGGACAGCTGTCAGCATCCTCTCCAACACATCACCCTGGAGGCTAGAACTGGGTTTTATCCCTCTTCTGTCTCCCCAACCCCTGCACTAAAAACTAGTTAGACACCTTGTGAGTATTCAACAAATGCCTGATGGATTTTTAGAGAAATCCTCACTGAAGCTATATCTCTAGATTAAAAGGCCAAGTAGGGGGGAAAAATGAGTAAACCATTTAAATCAGTGGTTTTCAAATGATGAGTCACACCCAATTAATAATTACTTAAATCCATTTCATAAGTCTATATAATCAGTTATTTTTTTAATAAAAAAGAAAAATCTTCAGGGCGCCTCTCTCTTGCTTGGTAGAACTCCACTGGCAACCCCTGAAATCCAACTCTCTCCCCCTGTTCTGTATTACATCCCACAGCTGAACATAACTGGAGGAAATCATACAACCAACACACACTAGCTTAATGTAATTCATTTCCATAACCTCACCTGGCTCCTCATGCTGCCTGGCCAGCACACCTCATTTCCTCTTTCATGCACCTGCCACCCTCCTGGATGACCATCCCTCACTCTCCAGTCCCTCCTCTCCCTCCTTGCTCTACGTTGCTAACCTCACCTCCTACCTCTCAGAGAAAATAGAAACTTTCAGAAAAGAACTACCACAGTCTCCCACCCACCTCCACTTCTATACATCTACCAGCATCTGCCCTGTAAATACTGTCATTCTCCCCTTACTATGGATGGACCATCCTCGTTCCAAAAGAAAACCAGCCCCTCTACTTGCACCTTGGATCCCACTCGAGGACATCATTCCAACAACCTTCCCCTCTCTCTCCTACATCATGACGATTTTCCTTCTCTACTGGATTATTCCCATTGGCATGTTATTTCTATCTTTAAAAAGGAAAGACCTACACAAGGTTATTTTCAATTATATCTCAATAAAGCTGAAAAAGTAAAATGTAAAAACCTTTAGGAGCTCCTGGGTGGCTCAGTCAGTTAAGCGTCCAACTTTGGCTCAGGTCATGATCTCACAGCTCATTGGCTCAAGCCCTGCATCTAGCTCTGTGCTGACAGCTCAGAGCCTGAAGCCTACTTCAGATTCTGTGTCTCCCACTCTCTCTGCCTCTCAAAACTAAACATTAAAAAATTTTAATTTTTAAAAACGTTCCTTCACTCTATTTTGCCTCTAAACACCACCCAAGTTCTCTGCTCCTCATATAATAAAACTTGTATGAGCAGACACTTCTCCAAAGAGGACATCTAGACATGGCCAACAGACACATGAAACGATGCTCAGCATCCCTCCTCATCAGGGAAATACAAATCAAAACCACACTGAGATACCACCTCACACCGGTCAGAGTGGCTAAAATGAGCAAATCAGAGGACTCTAGATGCTGGTAAGGATGTGGAGAAACGGGCACCCTCCTACACTGTTGGTGGGAATGTAAACTGGTACAGCCCCTCTGGAAAACAGTGTGGAGGTTCCTTATAAAATTAACAATAGAACTCTATGACCCAGCAATAGCACTGCTAGGAATTTACCCAAGGGATACAGGAGTGCTGATGTATAGGGGCACATGGACCCCAATGTTCATAGCAGCACTCTCAACAATAGCCAAAACATGGAAAGAGCCTAAGTGTCCATCAATGGACGAATGGATCAAGAAGATGTGGTTTATCTATACCATGGAATACTACATGGCAATGAGAAACAATGAAATCTGGCCATGTGTAGCAACATGGATGGAATTTGAGGGTGTTATGCTGAGCGAAATAAGTCAGGCAGAGGAGGACAGATACCATACGTTTGCACGTATAGGTGGATTAGGAGGAAGTTAACAGAGGACCGTGGGGGAGAGGAAGGGGGAAAATAGTGGGGGAGAGGGAGGGAGGCAAACCATGAGAGACTCTTGAAAGCTGAGAACAAACTGATGGCTGGTGGGGGTGAGGGAAAGGGAAGGGGGATGGGCATGGAGGGCGGCACTTGTGGGGATGAGCACTGGGTGTTATATGGAAACCAACTTGACAATAAACAACTTAGAAAATAAATAAATAATAAGACTTGTCAGTGCTCCTTTGCCGAATCCTCTCCTCTCATTCTCTTTTATACTCTCTCCAGTGAGATGGTGACCACCATCACCCCATCAAATTGCTCTTGTCAAAATCACCATTGACATCTATGCAGCCTAATCCAACCATCAACCCCCAGTGTCCCTCCTACATATCACTGGACTTTGCCGTTCCCTTCCTCCTATTTGGAACACATGGCTCACTTGGTTTTCAGGCCACGACTCTCTTCTAGTTTTCCTCCTATCTCATTCTGCCTCGAGTGCTTCTCCTGGTCTTCACCACTTCTTCATGCCACAGGGCTGGGCACCGGGGACTCTTCTCTACGTGCCCTACGCTCTTGGTGATCACATTCAGTCACGGCCTTCACAGGATTCTGCTAGGCCTCATCAGTCCTTCCCATGCCCACAAACAGAGCTGCCACGTGTTTGTGGCTCATTGAATAGACATCATTGATATGGACGATCTGTTTATTAGGAACTGTTACAGCCAGCTAATCATTTCATTCACAAATGACCAACTAACCCTCATCCTGGAATCCTTTTGACTAATTCAAGTCAGGTGTGATCCCATGACCTCCAGGTGAGCAGTGGGGTATCCAATTTGCCACCCCAGAGCCATCCATCCCCCTGGCTTTAGAGTCCTGATATTCCATGATACTCTCTTCCCCGACAAATCCCTTGTCACCCAACCCCGTGCAGGTGCACGCCTCAAATCTGTAGCTGCAGCAGCTCCTGCTGGTATCAGTGCAGCTGTTTCCTTTCATGAGCCTCTTTTGTGCACTGACATATCTGAAAAAAAAAAAAAGAGGGGGAGCATATTGAATTTCAGGAGATGAACCAGCTGGTTTAAGACAGACAAGGAAGAAAAAGATGACACGGTCACTGGGACAGTCTTCATGAGAATATAGTTCCAGGAATCCAGGTCCACACAGGGATTTGCACAGTGTTAATCTTACCCCTGAGATAAGGATTAAGAAGAATCTGCCCATAACGATGCATGCTTTCCAAATATCCTTCCGAGCCTGGAATGTAGAGATCGCTCAGGAACTCAGAATCTGAACACTGTCACTATAGCCCACTCTGGTTTCAAATTCACTTTGCTTTCTTGCTTGTATTTTTTATTTTTTCCAGGTGTGGAGATTGGTTAAGTGGCCACAGCATACTCTTACTTAACAACATCAATGCTGTTAGAGGACTCAGATAAATTGGCACTGGGGCCAACATGCGACTTTTTGACCTTGTAATTGCAAATATGGAGCTGTTTGTTTTCTCAGAAGTGTCTAAAACATGTGGGACAGGTATAAAGTTTCCACATAAGCCAACCTCTTTGTTTTGGTCTGATCTAAACAAACTGCTTCCTGCAGCTGGGCCAAGAATATTCCTTCCAGTCCTATCTTTTTGAGCAGGCCCAAGCTTGGAGACTTCCAAGATGGAATTCTGCCATGTCTTGTATGTGACAAAATCTTAAACCAACACTTCTCAGTGCCAGAAAAATAGCAACGTAGCCCAGGAAGAAATCAAAGCTGCATTTCTATTAAACAAAATTATTAACATGATAAAAAAAAAAAAAAGACCATTTTGTTAATGATCAAATATACAGGCTTCAGCCAATTAAAGCTTTGAAGCAAATAACCGTAGCTAGAATCCCTCACTGGAGCTAATCATTACAGCAAATGACATTTGAAATCTTTTTTTTTTTCTCCTAACTATAAGAATTAAAAGTTGAAGCAAGTTGCCAGCACAGCATGTGATCTGAGCTCAAAGTACACTTGCTCCAAATTGCAGAGCCTTTAACTCAAATGGGACAAGACCCTCTTCTGCCCAAATTAGCTAAGCAGAATTTGCTGTGAAACTCCCTAATGTCTACTCGCAACAAGAACTGCATCCTGGCAACCTACAGGAAGGGGAGTCACATGCTGGACTAAAGCAGGCTGCAACCAACCAAGCTTGGTGCTTGTCATTCCTTTGTCCAGCTGGCCCAGGGGGTTAACAAGAACCAACCAAGAGAGCAAGGCCTCTGTGAGCCAATTATCTCTACTCCAGTTTGCAATCCAAGATGGCACCCTACACTTGGTCATCCATCTTAAGATGGGGCACCTGGGTGGTGCAGTAGGTTAAGCGTCCAACTATTGATTTCAGATCAGGTCATGATCTCGTGGTTCATGAGATCAAGCCCCTTGCCGGGCTCTGCACTGACAATGGGAAGCCTACTTAGGATTCTCTCTCTCTCTTTCTCTCTCTCTCTCCCCCTCTCTCTCAATCTCTGCCCACCCTAAATAAATAAATAAACATTTTAAAAAATGCAAGCCCGCAGCCAGCCCATGGAGGATGAAGGAAAAAGTTCTCCACCTTTGCTGAAACAGCTCAGAGGTTTTCACTACTGATTGGGAGCTCAGCGTCATCAAATAGTGGAAGAAGAAAAAGCTACCATGGATTCTAGATTGGTTAAATAAAATATGGAGCCAACATCCCATTCAAGAGAGACCCCATTTTTCATATTTCAATGCAATAGGTATGCCTTTTGTACTTAACAGTTATTCATGCTTAATGGCACAATAATAAACCCTTGCATTTTTATAGGGCTTTACAATTTATAAATCACTTTCACATATATTCATGCTTTTTTAATCCTATTCGATGGCAAGGCAGGTATTTTACCCCACCTCAGAGATTAGAAGAAGAAGAAGAAACTGGAGCTCAAAGAGATCAAGTAATTTGCCCAAAGTCATGCTAAGAAGCAATTAGAAAAACATCCAGGTCCAATCCCAGGTGCTTACCTCTACACACAGTTTCTTAGATGAGTGGTTTTTACACCTGCCCCTGGAGAAATATCAAAAAGTTCAAAGTTGCAACTCTGATCAATCTCATGTGTGCAGATGAAATGAAGGAGAAGAAATATGGATTTTTCTCTCCCTGGCCCCACCTCCACCCCAATCAAGCACAATTGTGTCCATACGACTATGACCAAAAGCACTAAGCAGCCCACTGCACTGGCCCTTCTCACCAGCTATCTTAGTTTATTACTAACTAAATCCTTCTCGCTACACATCCTTCCTCACTCCACTGTCACATATATTTCCTAGAGTAGAAGCCCCTGAGGGCAAGGACTGGGCCATTCTTGCCTTGTGATGGTCTGCTGTGCCCCACAGAGTTCATTTCACTTACTGACTGCTTATTGTATATCTGCTCCTTATCATTTTGGAAAAGTACGAGTTTATCCTGAGGTAGAGCTAGGAGCATAGCACGAACCACGTTGCTTCCTCACTAATCACCATCCACTAGGTTTCCAGGCTGTTCATGCTCCTCTGAGAGAACATAAGAGATAAGACCCCTGGCCACATGACAAAGATGGTGGTCTACATCCAGGCACAGCCTCTAAGCCTCGAAAATACCCATTATTTTATACCTGAAGGGTTTTATACACACAATACCCTTTGCCATTGAAACTAATAGTATATAAAGAGAACAAGTCTTAGACCTCACTCCAGGGGTAAATGAAGAGCTATTTCTCATCTCTAAGGCAGTTCTATGACTTGTACCAGCAGCATAGCACCTGTTCAGAATTCTGAAAGACTATGGGTGAACTGAACGCATAGATATAAGCTGCAAACCAAGAGTGAATGGAATAAGGAAAATTAGGAAAGGTATCCAAGTAAGAATAGGAAATATGTGGCACTAGGCAGTCTCTTCTTTGATCTGTTTATAGCAGAGCTCCTCAATGGACACAGCAGGGATCTGTGTGTCCTGCCAGGCACCTGACCTCCCAGAGCTCTGACTCTCCTAAATGCCACATTTCACATGGCCATCACCATTCAGGTAAGATCAGCAAGCAAGATGTCACCTATTTGCCATCCTTGTTTATAAGACCTTGCTAGAAATCAGCAAGCTAGGCCTCACATGTTAGGCCTCAGCCACAGTGCTTCCTCATGCTCCTCTGATTCCAAGATTCCTGCTATTACATTAACAATCCAATTCTGGGGGCGTCTGGGTGGCTCAGTTGGTTGAGCAACTGACTCTTGGTTTTGGCTCAAGTCATGATGCTGGGGTCCTGGGATTGAGCCCTGTGTTGGGCTCTGCACTGAGTGTAGGACCTGCTTAGGGTTCTCTCTCTGTCTTTCTCTTCCCCCTCTCCCCCACTTGCTCTCGTTTTCTCTCTCCCTCTAAAATAAATAAAAAGTTTCAAAAATGAACAATCCAATTCTGATCATCTGGATTCTTAAATTTTTTTTTATTTATTTCTGAGAGAGAAAGACAGCATGAGCAGGGGAGGGTCAGAGAGAGAGAAAGAGAGAGAGAGAGAGAGAGGGAGACAGAATCTGAAACAGGCTCCAGGCTCTGAGCTGGCAGTCAGCACAGAGCCTGACGTGGGGCTCGAACCCACGAACCGTGAGATCATGACCTGAGCCAAAGTCGGACGCTCAACCAACTGAGCCACCCAGGCGCCCCCAATTCTGATCATCTGGATTCTTGACCTCAACTCTTGGTAGTTCTTTGCCCTTCCCCATCACCAGCCCCCACACCAACCCTCAGCCCCAGACCCCTGGCTAGGGATTCTGACCAGGGCCTAGTGACCTGCCTCTACTAATTCTTGTCCCCCCAACACCTTCTTCTCATCCCTTACCCGACTCAAACACACCCACTCACCACCGAGGCTCAGTAGAAAGGACCCTGACCTGGTCTAGATTCCCTTTCCTGACTGCATGACAGCAGCCCAAGGTCACTGAAGAACTGAGATAAGCATGGCAGAAGCGGGAAAATTCCAAACTAAGAAAGGAGAAGGGGAGATGCTAGCCTATGGTTCACAAAACCTCTCTCGGTTATGGAGTTTATCTGAAAGTCGGGCCCCATCTTTATCCCTTCAGAGAAAGTAAAAGATTCCAGTTCTGGCTTATTTCTGCTTTATGGTCAAGTTTCTGCCTTCGAGGTAAGGAGCAGATGTTTCCTAAGCTCCCAGGGATTTATCGGCCTTGTTCACACCTTCAGCAGACAGTTCATTGCAGCTTTAATTTATATGGTTCTGTTTCACTGGTGGGACAATAACTCACGCTCCATCTCGAGTCACAAAATGGCGGCATGCAGGAAAGGCAGACTCGCCTCCCCACGCCTAGCTCCTCGCCTCTCACTGCCCACCTCCCTACTCCCCAGCCTCTCTTCCATCACATTCCCCCATATTCTCTGAATCCAAGTAATACGGCCAATCCCAGATTGGCAACATGCTGCCAAGGAGGCTCCCTGGCAGAGGAAATGTCCCTGGAGAACCTTGGTCTGGAAGCCGCCTGTAGGGTTCAAAGCCCAGTTCTGCCTGCAACTCACCAGCCAAGTCAGTTCCCTTCTTTGGCCTCAGTTTCTTCATCTGTAACCTGAGGGGGGGCGGGGGGGGATCGGGCTCAATGACATTGTATTAAACTCGAGTTTCTCATCTGTGAAGGGAGCTTTTGGGCTTCTGCTCGGGTTGTGCCCTCAGACTTCCCACAATGCCTTACTGCTACTCCCCTGCCATTGAGGCTCAACCAGCAGAGGGAGAATCATTCCCAGCTGCTGGCAGCCTAATCCAGCTGCCATGCGGGAGTTTTGTTATGCCTGTTTCACAGTGGGTCGTGTCAAGTCAACATGTATTTCTTAAGTGCCTTTGACAAGCCCAGAAAGAGGGTGGAGCCCTCTGGGGCCTCAGTGACTTCATCTGTGAAATGAAAGGCTTTCGCTCGCTGAGCTTCTGAGGTGCCTCCCAGCTCTTAAGTCCTGAGAGTCAAGATTCCACTGGGGGAAGGAGGTTACACCCTGGGGTTGCCAACCACCAGCCCCACCCCTGATGTGGCCTAGGTCCAGCTCCTTTCAAGCCTGTTGCACCTGGGACCACACGTGGGCAGAGTAACCCTAAATCCAGCTAATAACCCATTCAGAGGTGAGGTAGTGCACGCGTCACAAACACAGCCATCCCCCACCATGTCTTCTTGGCTGAGCCTTGGCCCTGCCCCCTCCCCAGCCGCAAGTCTCGGGGCTACTTTAGAGAGAGGGGGGGAGAGGCAGATGCTTCTCTAGATGGTGTGATTTGAAAGAAGTCCCCACCTCCCCTGCAAAATATCTCTCACAGACCTCCCTCAAACCCTCATCATAGGCACTCAGTTTCTTTGCATTCTAGCATCTTGCTTCCAGAAGTTTCCTGTTAAATGCAAATGTGCACAGAAAAGGAGCATGTACTCAGCCTTGGACTTCTTTTCCCCAATGCTACCCTCTCACCAGCTCCCATTTCCACTCTCCAGCCCCCCAAAAACATCTGATAAACACAAGAAGAACTTACCCCACAAAGAGAGAGGCACAAACCCCAAATTTATGAAGGAAAAACTAAATAGGAATGAAGATTAAAGAGGCATGCTGTCTGGCTTCCACACCGACTTATGTTCTTGACAACTAACAGAAGAAACAGGATTGGAGAAGGAATTAGTTGAAGAGGAGGGTAAAGGATAACATAATAGTGATTTTCAGACCCACTGTGTTGTTAAGGTTTTTAAGGAATTAAAGTTCTCACTTTAGAAAATCATAAAGCCCCATCACTGTTTGACTTGGCTCCGTGTCCCTCTTCTTAGATTACTGCACGTGTTTACTATTTAAGTTGGAATGAAGAAAAATTAATTTTGAGTGGATAAATTTTGAGGGATAAGTGTAGATACACAGATGGAAACCACAGATATACCAAATTAGGATTCACTCTCTGCCCTCCCCATAGAAGCCAGAAGAAATAATGGCTTCACCCTGCATGGAGCACGATTTAAGCCATGTGGGAGACTTCCCTGAAGAGAGAGTTGTTGAATCTGAAAGAGTGAGTTATAGGAGATTGTGAGGGCATTTCCTTTTTTTCTGTAAATATTTTAAAAACAGAACCAGTTCCCATTTGTTATGGATGGAATTCTGTCTCCCCCAAAGTTCATATGTTGAAGCCCCAGCCCCCCAATATGACTCTATTTGGAGAAAGGGCCTATAAGAAGGTAATTAAGTTTAAGTGAGCTTATAAGGTGGGACCCTAATCTTACAATGTCCTTATAAGAAGAAGAAGGGGTGCCTGGGGGGCTCAGTTGGTTAAATGTCCAACTCTCAGTTTTGGCTCAGATCATGATCTCACGGTTCTGGAGTTCAAGTCCTGCATTGGGGTCCGCACTGACAGTGTGGAGCCTACTTGGGATTTCCTGTCTCCCTCTCTCTCTGCCCCTCCCCACTTGCTCTCTGTCTTTCTCTCTCTCTCAAAACAAATAAATAAACATTTTTTAAAAAGAAGAGGAGGAGGAGGAGTGAGAGGGTTACCACCTATAACCCAGGGGGAGAGGTCTCATTAGAAACCAGATTTTCCATAACCTTGATCTTGGACTTCTAGCCTCCAGAACTGTGAGAAAATACGTGTCTATTGTATAAGCCACCCAGTCTGTGGCCCCCTCATTATGGCAGCCTGAACTGACTAATGTTTCTGCCTGAGGGAGGATGACAAAATAGGTCCAGTAACAAATGGGGATTAACTACTTTTCCAGGCATTAGGCTTATGGCAGTAAATATGACATCGCCAGCTGGGTGGGGCCACCTCCTCACAATACCTCTAGCCTATGGGTTCTAGAATCCACATGCCTTTTCCTAACATGCAGCCTCTAGGACTATGTAGCTGTACCTTCCCCAGAGTGGGTAGGAATAGCGCTTATTGTCTGGGCAAGGAAGCCAGTGATTGAATGACTCTCCTTCTAGACTGTTGCCTCAGTAATGCCAAGAGTCCAGATGTGGTGCCATGAAGTCCAGATTTGACCTGTCAAGAAATAAGAGGATGTTGCTGTGGGGAAATCAGAAACAGCCATCTTTCCTCACAAGCAAACCTGAGGAGAGCAGACAGCCCAGGTGGGCCTGCAGATGTAGCGTGACTTCTGGAGCCAAAAAGGACCAGCGAAGAGTCTGATGCCCTGGGGTGGGGACAGTGTCAGGGGACAGTTTCCCTAAGGAAGCCAGAGGAGACAGGAAGAGGAAAGTGGGGGAGGGGTGTTAAAAGGAAACTGGGCTAGTGTGGGCTTCAAGAAAGATATCAGACTGTGCTTGAAAGCTGGGACAACTTGCCTGTCTTTTGAACAAACTCTGGTTAAAATTAAGAGCAGAAATCTGTACTTGATAAAAACTATTGTCTCAAAGCTTTTGAAGAAGGAGCAGAAGGAAGTCAGGCTATTTTTCTCTTTTTCTCCTGGTAAATATTTGTGGATGTCACTGTGTAAAAAAAAAAAAATGATGTGAGTAGGTTTCAGTCGGTACCCAGAAGGACACGGAAGCTGTGGCATAAGGGTACCCCAGCAGGGGGCGGGCTTGACTTGTAGTGTTCGCCAATTTCTGTGTTGTAAATATTCCCACCAAGGCTGATTTCAAGCCACCAATGGTTGAAAAATCAGCTTGCAAAATCCCTGCCTTTTTATCCACGGTAACAGCTGACTCTAGTATACTTCCACAAGGCACACAGAACGGATAGCAGGTGACCTTGTGCACAATCAGCTGGGAGGACCAGGAGCCCAGTGAGCAGAAAGAGGAGGACCCTAGAGGGTGATGTCAAGAACACAAGCAGATTTTCCTCTCTGGGATGTGTCACCTCACATGCATTAATAGAGGTCCACTGTCATGGCCGTTCAACTGTCCTCCTTCCCAGAAGCGTCAAGAGCAGTTCTGTTGAGGAGGCACTACCTTGTCCCCTGTGCATTGCCCGTGTGCTACCTCGAGCTCAAGGGAAGAGCAGCAGCCACAGAGAATCCCCAAAACCCACCTTGTTTTTAAACTTCTAAAAGACCAACTAAAACTTTGATTTACAGAAAAAAGAAAAGAAAACAAAAGAAAGGAAACAGGGAGGGAATTTAGAAAAGATCTTCACCAACCATTGTAAAACCAATACGCCCAGTTTTCCCAGGGACCCCAAGAAAATGTCTATTATTTCCCCCCTAAATGGAGGAAGAGAAAAGGAATTCCCATTTTTGGATTTGGCCAACATCTCCCACCCCCCATCTCTCCCAGTACAAGGCAACAGGATGGAAGCAATGCTATGACTCAACTACCCCTGACGTTCTTCTATAGATTATAGTTATGGACTGACCCATTCTCTGGACACTCATAAATAATCCATCTAGAACTTCATTCTGCAGTCCAATGTTAGTCTTCAAATGAACTACAAACATATTCTTTTGTTTCCAAAACAAAACCACAGGCAAAAGCTGAGACTGAGGTCTCTTCCTCTCCAGCTTACTTTCTAGTACCTGGTGCTGGGCTCCATGCTCAGTCAATCCTCACCCAAGTTAATTCTTCCTCTCTCTCCTGCAGAAACTCACCAGGGGGTGTTCTCTGAGGACTCATGGCAATCACCTCCAGGAGGTTAGGGAGACCCTACTCTTTGGGCCATGAGTGAGAGGACTGGGCAGAACTTGAGCTAGCATCAGTAAGCATTGAACAGTACTTGATGAAGTAGATGAACTAAAGAATAGGATTATTATACATAACCTAAAGGGTCTACTGTACGTATGCAAGTTATCTATTTAAGAGTCCAGGTAGATAATATGTCTCACAGTGCTTACGTAAGAAGGTGCAGCCAGTGTGAATATATTTCCACCAGCCCTCTGGCTGTGCTTACAGCCGAAATCTCCTGCATTTCCTTGGATTGAGGAATCACAGCAGAGAAACCTGTCACTGGGAACGATAAAGGAGAAAGGGTGACCTCTGCTGGTCAAATCAGAAGGTTTTTAAAATCTGGTTCTTCTCCCAATTCGGCAAAGAAAAAAGTGAGCAGAGAGAGTTGGGAAGGTAAGAGTGTGTAACGTTTTCCCTGAAAAATGATCATTTTTTCCACACTCATCATTTGTACAGACTTTTCAGCAAAAGGTCATTAGCCTCGAAACTCTTTAATGATGTGTAGAAATGAGATTCAGTGAGGTTTTTATTGTGTTTAATAATTATTCTCTAGAAAAAATAAATAAATGTTTTCATCCAGAACTCATTAATTTCTTTTTTCTTTTTTTTTTTTTTGATATTTCCTTAATGACATGAAGAATTTGGAACCGATTTTGAAAGTAGAGGCTAATTAGAATAAATGAAAGTGCAGCTCCCCCCCCCCACCAATGTCTCATTAAGGTTTACATTTGTTAGATAAATGCTCATTTTAGGAATTAAAAATTAAGCGTTTTCAAAACAGTCTCCACAATTTCCAATTCAATATCTAATGGAAAACTTGAAATAACTTACTTTGGTTGAAAACTCAGCAATACTCAAAACAAAACCATTTCCATGCGTTTTCATTATGTTGCTTGATTTTGGCCCTCCGCATATCTTTCATCACCACTGACAAGCAAAAAGCATGTATGGTGCT